GGAGTCCCTAACAAAGGTATTTGGCTAGGCTTCTTAAATAGGTTGCCTTGATTAATTATCCCCAAACCTTGGGAGGACTAGTGGTAGCTAACACATATACAGCTGGGCACTAATCTGATATTTACATACATTAACCAATTTCATACTCATAAGATCTCCATTTTACATAAGAAATGGGCACAGAAGGACAGGCTCAAGTTCACATAGCTAGAAAGTGGCAAATCTGGGCTTGCAATCTGACCCCAGAATTGTGATCTTAACCTCTACAGACACTGCCTCTCAGGAAGCAGCTGTTTAATCCTTGGTTTATGAATAAGTAAAATTTCCCAAGTTCACATCAATAGTGAGAAAAAGCAGGATAAGAATTCAGACCTAATGCCAATATCTGTGCTTTTTCTCCTGCCCACACCACAGAAGTATAGTGTATTCTGGGAGTAGAGATGGGCAGAGTTAGGAGTGAGCACCCAAGGCAAGATTCAAGGAAGGAGATGTCTGTGGGGAAGGTTCAAGTATTTAACAAGATGGAGCTCTGGATATGAGATATCTGTCTATCACCATCTACTTCCACCACATTTAGAAATGCAACATCCTTGGGATAGCAGCAGCAGCTCCATGCCTCAGTCTCAGAGCTGATGGAGCTTCCCGCAGATGCAGGCATAAAAAAATCAGAAATGTTCCCTCACTCTCAAACGTGCCCAGCTCACTGTTGTTTTTCCAGTCTTCATTCTGGCTCTATGAAGAGGGATGGTTTAGCTTTGTCTCCTTCAGATCATCTGTGTTGCTCAAAGATCTAAGGAACAACAGGAGCTAGTGTAGTGGCCACTATATCCAAATGCAGAGAGCAGAAACCATTGTCATCACCAGGTCTTTTAATCAATGAAAAACACAGCTCCCGTATTAAGTTTACATCTGTAAATCCTGGAGGTGGTGTTTTTGTAAATGTTATACAGATCAAACTGAACAATACTTGTTTTAAAAGAGTTTGTAAACCATGTCATCTTTGTAAATGAGTCAAATTACAGGTGTTTCCTGAGAACACAATTAAAATAATAATATTTCACAACACAAAGTAGACCTGGAGATAAAGAGACTAAAATTATCTTACACGGATATTTAATAACAGAAGAACCTTACACTACAGTCCCCAAAATGTCCTAAAACACCACCCATCACACAAGTCCCTACTCAGTTCCCAACAAATTGAGAAAAGTTCAGCCTGGCATTCCAGGACTCGGTGCTGAGACCTTAGTCTTCCTCCTCAGCCACACACCCCTGTGTGCCCCGCACAGCACTTCAGAAACAAGACCGACCACTCCCTGTTTCACAAGTACAAACTGCATTCTCTCTACCAAGCATGCAGTTCATGTTCAGACAGCTGCTTCTGCAATGTCCTGACTCAAACTCCATTTCAGCCCTCCTTCAAATCACATCGAAAAGCCACCATTTGTTTCAAGAACCCTTTGTCCCCCTCTTCAATTAAAAATGATCTTGTCCTCTTTGAACCACCAGGGGTCTTTGTGGTACATATATATGTGTGTGTGTATACACATACGTGCATATGACATTTCTATTATGGTGATTTATGACTTTTGGCATGGTTATCTACTTTCCCAACTTAGTGTGTAAACCCTTTAGGATCAGTGACCATAGTTTACTTCTGAAATTGCCTTTTTATAACCACTACTTTGGCTAATAGAGTGCATGCAACACAGGAATTCAATAAGTATTTACTGAATTATTATTTTGTTAATAATGTTAATTATAGAGTGATCTCCTATGGATGATCAACTATGAGCCAAGAATGATATTTACATATCATATCCCATTTAATATTCAAAATCCTGTGACTTAGAAAATCAAGAATTAAGGAGTTGTAAATTAGTTGTTACACAGCAATCAAGGTTACATAGCAAGTAGAATCTCCAACTCTTAACATAACAGCAGAATGCACTTTGAATCTGTCATACTCCAAACACATACCCCAAGTCAACACTATATATGAGACAAAATGTAAAGAATATATTGCTTTTCACTTTTAGATAAATAAATTTGGCAAATTTGAAACCGAACCACTGATTGTGGTAGTGAGGAGAACTACTTTCCAAAATCAGATTTAAGGATTAGAAATGAGTTTGAAGGTTAAAATATATATATCACATAGAATCTTTATCACTACAGTCCAAGAAATGTAGAAGATGGGGAAAGAGACCATTTGAGGCATTTGTTTAGAAAAATGATTTATGAGTAAGCTGAACTTGAATATTGTAATGGAAAAGGCACAGGTTTGACATAGTAGGGTTAAAATTCTGGGTGTAATGTTCTTAGGCTTGGTCCTTGGCAAGTTAATTAACCTTTCTAAATTTCGGTTTTCCCAAAGGTAGACAATAACAGCTTTCATAGGTAATTCAAGTATTAGATAGGTATAGGGAATACAAGGGCTTCCCAGGTGGTGCTAGTGGTAAAGAACCCGCCTGCAAGTGCAGAAGACATTAACAGACGCGGGTTTGATCCCTGGGCCCAGAAGATGCCCTGGAGGAGGGCATGGCAACCCACTCCAGTATTCTTGCCTGGAGAATCCCATGGACAGAGGAGCCTGGTGGGCTACAGTCCATGGGGTCGCAGAGTAGGACACGACTGAAGAGACTTAGCACGCACGCACAGAGAATAAAATCCAACAGATGACACGTATTGCTAACACTATTATTAGTAATATTGTTTTCATGAAGAGTGACTGGGCTAGGTCAGTGTTCTTGAGAGGAAGGGAAAGGCAGGGCTGCCATTACTGTTCCCAACCATTCACACCGAGAGTGACTCCTGGGAAGAGCAGAAGGGGAAACAGAGGCCAGCAGCACAGCCAGCCTCAAAAACCCAACACCGCCTTCTCTGCACACTGACTCCCAAATTCTCTCTTGTAACTAAAGAACTGAAAATCAAAACATGGAAATCAAGCTGGATCACTCCTTTTAAAATCTTGTGAGTATATTCTAGATCCTCACCCTGGCAGCCTTTCTTAGCTTCTTTCAGAGAAAGTGTTCTCTGGAACTAGGACAAGCAGTAGGCATTTGGCATTAGGTCGCAGAGGCATCAAACACCACACCCACCATTTTCATCTTCAGGTGCTTCTAGTTTATTATCTGATCCTTGGGGGCCTCAAATGTTAATTGAATATATCTCCTGGATGGGCTGCTCTGAGAAGTGTATGTGGCCCTGACTATTCAGTGCCAAGCACAAAGTAGGCACTCGATAATGACTAATGAATTCCCTTTCCCTTTAATAGCTCCCCCTAAGTGGAGAATAATCAAGTTCTTTGCGCAAATATGCTAGCATCTCTAAATGGCACCTGCCAATGGGGATGGATACTTGGATCTGAAAAGTGCTATCTCATTTAAATGAGGAACAGAATGGTAATTACCAGGGGACAATTTACAGACATTACTGATTATGGTTGTACCCAAACCAGTGTCCTAACAGTGACAGGCTTTTCTCTTTTAAAAAAAAAAAAAAATTCTTGAAAAATCCCTGAGCCATTTAGTCTCTTGAAAAACATGTGCCTTGGAAACCCAACATCTGCAGAAAGCAAAAGGGCCTGAGAATCACCAACTAATTTTTTCTCTTACAGCTTTTCAAACAAAGGAAAGAAAATAAACATGACACTGTATTTGGACTTTTTGGCATAGTTTAGCAAATTACAATGGAAAAAAAGACACACTTTGTGGTGCAAGGTCTAACACTTTTCAAACCAGTAAACTTGAGCTGGATTTGAAGTCAACTATCACAGTACCTGTGATAAAGTTACTTTTAAGTTACCAAGAAGTTTCTTGACTTGTTTATGGAATTCCAATATGGGTGGGAACTTATAATTATTTTGTAAATTATTGACTCATTTCCCCTGAAATCAAAGAAACCATGAGTATCCAAACCTTAGATAAAAGAGATGTTCTTAACATTCATTACTGCAATTCAACCACTAAAAAAAAAGTACCTTTTCTTTCCCTTTTCATTTGTTATCTGTTGAGAGAGAAGGGAAGAAGCTACCACGGGAAGGGAACCTCCAACACTTTGACAATATTAAAGGAACCATATATTGTCTTCTTAAAAAACACCAATTCTCCTACCGATAACTTTGCACCACATTCACATAAGAAATTATTAAACGATTATTAGCTTAATAATTACATATGTATATGTGTGTGTATATATATTTATGTGTGTGCATGGGTGTCCGTAGACACACACACACACACAGAAACACACACACACACACACACACAGTTCATAAACCCAAGAGACATTCTCAGAGAGGCTCCAGGGGAAAAGGACTTAAGCAGCCCAGGGAGTGGAACAGCCTTTAAATAAATCTAGTAATTTAAGCACAGCTCCCGCTTTTCAGCAAGCACTGCTTCTGGAGCCTCTTCATTTAAGAGTTCTCATATTCTTTTTTAGGGATTTGTTCCCTGATCAGCTTAGTGCCATTGGCTCTGCCTTCGAGAAAGCAAGCCGGTGGTAAAGCGGTCATATGCGCCCCGACCGTGGAAGCAGGAGTCCCTTCCACAACCCAGCAATTGCTCCCCGTCTCCCTCTCGCCGGCCCCGCGGCCGCTCGCCTTCCAATCGCTAGGTGAGAGGCGGCGGCCAGCAGAACAAGGCCACAGAGTAGATGACCTCAAGATTCAACCCGCTAACTCACCTCCTCCCCAGCCCCAACTGCCACCCATCACCTCCTACAACCCCCTTCCCTCCCATCCCGCTTCGTGACACCCCACGGAGCAGCCACCGCGGGGTGCGGGGAGGCAGGGGCGGCCGCCGCGGAGAGCCGGGGGCTTCCTTCGCACCCACCCCCGACGCGCCCTAAAAGACTGTCCTCTGGGGAAGGGGCTGCCGGCAACTTGGAAGAACTTAGAAGGCAGAGGCTGAGGCGCCCGGACCTCGGCGCGGCCTCAAACCAGAAGGCGAGGGGCGGAAAAACGGGGTCGGGGCGAGGGCGACTGCCCCCGGGCTTACCACGAGCACGGGGACCCCGGCGGCCAGCGAGTACAGGAGCACGGGAGGCACGGCGCTGCTGTCCTCCGGGCCCGGGTAGGGCTTGCGGTAGGCGCTGTCGTGGCAGAAGAAGCCCTGCACGTTCACGGTGAACGTGTCCGTGTACTCGAAGTAGTACGCCAGCATCACCGTCCCTGCCATGATCACCATCTGGAAATAGAGCATGCTGCTGGTGAGCGCCGCGGGCCGCAGGGGCATGCACGCCCCCCGGGCCGGGCCGAGCCGAGCGTGCGGCGGACGGACCCCCTCCCGGGTCCGCCGAGGCAGCCACCCGGGGGCGCGGCGGCGGGGGCGGCCGGAGGACGAGGCGCGGGAGGCGGGATGGAGCTGCCGGAGGAAGAGGCGGAGGCAGGTCCGGGTTTCGAGGCGCCGGCGGGCTGCGGAGGCGGTGGCTACCCCCCGGACGAACCCCCGCTCCCCTCCCCGCCCCCTGCCCGCCGCTAGCGCCGCCCGCCCGGGCGCGGGGTCGCGCGGGAGGGCGGGGAGTCCCGGGCGGCTGGCAGCGGCCACGCAGGAGACGGTTCGCGATGCAGCCGCGCAGGACCGAAGCCCCCGGCCCGCCCGGCGGAGGGGCGGACCAGGCGGCGGCGGCGGCTGGGACAGCGGCACCTGTACCCCTCGGAGGGCAGACGCAGTGGAGCTGGAGAAGCTCCTCGCCGGGGTAAAAACCCAAAAGAGGGGGAGGGGAGGCAGCAGAGAAGGAGCTTCTAGAAACTCCCTTCTGAGGCAGCAGCTGGACGGTTTAGGAAACCCGCACAACGCCTGGGAAAACGGTGCGTGGATGCGTCTTCGGGGAGCCCCGCGAAGCGCAAAGTCCCGGTGCCGCGCAGCGACTTTCAGCCGGCGCTCCCTGGGATTCCTTAACCCCGCGCAGGACACACGCCCAGCGCTGGCTTCTAGGCGCAGAGAGAGGCATCATCTCAGAGGATTTTAGATTCGGAGTTTTCTCTGCCTCCTCCTCCAGTTGCCTAGGGCTTTGTATGTAAAAACAGAAATCTAGCTCCGGAGTTCCGGAAGCATCATCTCTTGTACAACGGCCCCTTCCTCGCTCACGTATTCTCCTCTGGCTTATCATCTCAGTTTCCCTTTATTAGATGCCTGTGAGACGAGGCATTGCACATTCCTAGGACCCAGCGGTGGCAGCCACTAGGGAAGGAAGAGCGGACCGTTTGCCTCACCTCGCTATTCCCTGAGTTCCCGGTATTGCTGCAATTCCCCAGGGGTCAAGTGAAAGGATGGGGAGACAGAGGGCTCACACGACAGGCATACAGAACCCTCCAATACACTGGCCATGCACGCGTGTGCGTGGGTATGTAAGTAGCAGTGCAACTGCATGTATGTAAAGAGCCCGTTCGTGTGCCATGTGTAACCCTGCCTGCAAGAGGAGGCAGCAGACTGAGGGGACTGGGGGTGGGGGAGCTTAGGGGAACCTGACACTGCTTACCTTCCCCTCCAGAGAGAAGCTAGGAAGCCTGTATGCCAGGAGAGGGGGTGAAAATACTCCCGGAGCCCTGCTCTTCTCATTACAACGTGGAGTCAATCTAGCAGATTTCTAGAATATTCATTTTAATTGGTTGTAGCTTGATGAATTTTAGAGGTGGGCCTTTATCATCAGTAAAGAAACATTTTTAAGCAAAAAAGCCTTTTTAAATTTGGCAAATGATAGTTTAGGATGAGATAATAAAGGCAGTGTGAATTTAATGTAGAATATTTTACCTTCTATGTTGTTAGACATCATTTAATAACTGATTACTTAGTACTTACCAGATAAACAACACTTAACAACCTGTATAATAAACAGTTTTGGGCACTGGGCATAAACTCTTCCTAAATGGACAAAAAAGACATCGTATTGTGAAAATGTAATTACTGCAGAGATGCATGGTCTCGTGCTACCTTTGGAAAATCATTCTAAGACTGTAAGAGTGTCTGAACTGCAAATCTGGTTCTAAATAGGAATCCCCCAAGCCTTCCTATTTAATAGATTTTTTTTTGAAGAATGGTGCTAATTCTAAAAGGTAGATTTTAAATGTAACTTTAGATTAAGGAGAGTCTAATGTAGGTAATTTATTCAAATTAATGAAAACCTTCATTTTAACAAGTTAATTTAAATTCAAATTTAAAATGCATTGTAAGGCCTTTTACACAGTGTCCTAGTGTATTGTGTGACTAGTGGGGAAGCCGGTGGACACAGGAGCTGGGTGGGCTGTTGTCTGGTGGGTCGCAAAGAGTTGAACACAACTGAAGCGGCTTAGCATGCTCACACGTGTGCCTAGTACTATGCATAACAAGCAGTGCTGTTCACTGCTCTGTCCTCATCTCATCGTGAGCAGGGAAGGGTACATTGTACCATTCACAAAGGTATTTAATCTGAATAAATTAAGGACCTTACCCCTCTTAGCTTAAACAACAGGGAAGTGTTTTCATGTATGAAATTGTTGTTAAGGTTAGAGAATCACCATCTTTATCTCCCTAGACAAAGGTAGCCTGTATACTTACTTGCAACACAGGGCAACATAATAGCACCAACTCAGGTCCTGCCTGGGTTCAAGTCATTCTACCACTTAACCAATTTGGGGAAACTGGGGAACATGCTGGACCTCTTCCTGCCTTAGTTTCATCACTGCTAAAATTGAGATGATACTGGTACTTACTTTACCAGGTTGATATGAGGATTATTGATGCTTATTATATCCAGCACATTGTGTTTAAATTCTATAAAATATACCCTAATCATACATGTTTCTAGCAGCCTTAACCCAGGCCACTCTAATACCCATTACCAGTCACTTCCTTCTCATTTTTTTGCTTGGAAAATGATTCTGGGTGTATCCATATTTCTGTAGGAATATCTGTTTTTCTGTAGATCTGTGAACATTCCATCTTCTGTTTCAGATGGTATCCATCTCAAGAATGAGATATTATTTTCCTTCAGAATTCTCAATATCTCCGTCATTTGTTCATGTTAGATGGTCAAATTGGTGTTGCTGACTGATTCGTGGTTGACTTACCATCCAGTGCTGAAATTCAAAGTTAATATGTTCTAAAGATACCAACATAAAATTTCTATGAATATTTGAACAAATTGGTTATACATAGAAATGGTGTGATTGAGGTGGATGAAAGAGCATGAGCAGTGTGCCCTGGGATTTGTTCCTTTCCTTTCCTGAGCCTGAGGTTTCTTAGAGACAAAATGAACTAATTTGTCTTACCTCTGGGCTTATTTTGACAATTAAATGAGAATATGTAAAGTGCCTGGCCCAAAGAAGTACTTATTTAGGATGTTTCTTCATTTTATTTTCTTATGAATCATTTAAGCTAATTCTTTTCCAAAATACGTATTTTAAATTTCAAAGAATCCTTTGGAACCCTGCCTTAATTATTAATTTAACTATCTGTTTCTAGATTAAAAACAGCACTATGCATCTTTAATCTTTTGGAATCTTGACCAAATTCTTAATTTAATTCCTAGGTCTATTATTGTGCTTTCAAATGTGTTGTAGCAGTCAGTCTTTCTTAACAAAAAACAAAATTCTCCCCATCTTAGCTCCCACCAAATTGGATAATATAGGTCAAAAATGTGGTATTTAGAGCTCTCTTATTTTCCAACTTCCAGTGATTCATATTGTATTTGTTTGTGCGTGACTTAACAACCACTCGATCCCACCATGTTTCTCCACCTATAAAACCATGATAAATACTGGGACGGATCTTGGGGAAATTATTTATCAATTCCAGTACCTCTCATCCACTCACCACAATACTCATGCTCTAGTAGGAATTAGTAAGGTGCTAGACGGGCATAGGAAGATACAGTCCTTCTCTATATGGTTTGTAACTTTTCTTCTATAGATAAAAGACAGACATACAGAAAGTCAGGGTGGAGGTGGTCTTTAGATTGGCAGCAAGTGAAAAGACCATTTGAATAGTCCTTGGGAAGTCAAGTACTGAGTATTTGTGGGTAGCTAGATGAGTGAATGTATTCTTCTTAAGTTTTAGAACCTCAGGTGCCTAACAGAGGGGAATAGGAAATGGACCTGGCTCCTCAATATTATGACCAAGTGGGTTCTGTACATCGAATCTATGCATATCGAGAGTCAAGAGTGAGATTCCCTGCTCAGGTTCAAGGATTTGGACCTCATTAATTTATAGACAGAATGTTTAAAGTTAGGACCCGGCTTTACTTATTACTAGATTTTATTTATTGTTAGGTTTATATCACAACTATTTCTTTTTTTTTTCCTACTTTTTATTTTGCATTGGAGTATAGCCGATTAACAATGTCGTAATGATTTCAGGTGGACAGCAAAGGGACTCAGCCATACTTATGCGTGTAACCATTCTCCCCCAAAGGGATTCTTCCCTGGTAGCCCTGTTGGTAAAGAATCTTCCTGCAGTGCAGGGGACCCAGGTTAAATCCCTGGGTCATGAAGATTCCCTGGAGAAGAGAATGCAAACCACTCCAGTATTCCTGCCTGGAAAATCCCATGGACAGAGGAGACTGGTGGGCTGCAGTCTGTGTGATCACAAGAGTCGGACACAACTTAAGCGACTAAACCACCACATTCTCCCCCAAACTCCCCTTCCATCCAGGCTGTCACATAATATTGAGCAGAGTTCCATGTGCTATACAGTAGGTTCTTGTTCCATTTTAAATAGAGCAGTGTGTACATGTCCGTCTTAAACTAAGACTTAGAGAACAGACTTATGGTTCTTGGGAGAAAGGATGGGGAAAAGGTAAAAGGGGTAGTTAGGGAGTTTGGGATAGACAGAATGTTTTTGGCAGAGATGCCTGAGTATTTCCAAAGACCAAAAAAGATGCAGAATTATAAACATTGTTTTCCTAGTGTTTAAGGTAACTCAGAGGTAAACCCAGGCATTTTCCTGATGTTTTCTCACTCCATGTACAACCGGAGATAAATAACATTACAATGTCAATGCATAGCTGAGATGATGAGGTATGAAGAATTCAGAAGGCTTTACATAAATTAGGGAAGCTCTCAAAAAAAAATAATAGAGTCCTTCTTTTAAAAACTTCAAAAATCTGTGTTCACAGTGCTTAACCTGTGCTAGAGGTGTTTAAGGAGATTCGCACATGTGACAAGTCACATGACTTTGCACTAGTGAGGAACTTTGAATATTAACATACGTATTAGTCGAAGATCTCATGGGAATAGGTTTGGAAAAAGGCATATTTTAGGCCAGATAACTGCATTCAGAATAAGTAAGGGCATCTGGTAATTCTTTCTAATACTTACTGAATGGCAAAAGACAGTATCTTAACAGATCTTTATTGACGTGGATCTAGAAAATGAACAAGTGCACCAGTTTACTAACTTCAGGAGAGTTTTATATAGAGAACACCCCTGAAGCTTGAGTAAGAAATACAATGTAGGACTGGTTAAC